TGAATCGCATGATTCCGAGTTCGGACGACAAAGATACGGTAAAAACAGACGAAACGCGTAGGACTACGTCCTGGACCTCGGCGAGATACCCAGAGGTGTCTCGGACGGTAAAAACAGACGAAACGCGTAGGACTACGTCCTGGACCTCGGCGAGATACCCAGAGGTGTCTCGGCCAACCCGAGACACCCAGAGGTGTCTCAGATTGGCCGAGACACCAATTGGTGTCTCGGATTGGCCGAGGCACTCACAAGTATCTCGGACCTTGTAGAGTGATTTTGGCCATGATCCGATTCGAATATGAAGAAACTCAAAACATGAAAGTTGTAGATCTCCTCGTTAGCTTTCCAATGAATCTTAGATCAGATCATTTGAAGATCATATGAGAAAGATAAAGCCAAAATACCAAAGATAGTATAAACTGCCTCAGAACTCCGAGACAGTGTTGGTGTCTCGGAAAAGAATGACTATTTTGGTCATGATCCGATTCGAATCTGAAGAAACTCAAAACATAAAAGTTGTAGATCTCTTTATCAGCTTTCTAATGCATTTATCAGATCATTTGGAGGTCATATGAGAAAGTTATAGCCAAAATACCCGAGACACTTGTAAGTGTCTCGGCTTGGCCGAGACACTTGTAAGTGTCTCGGCGACGCCGAGACACTGTCTCGGCCATGCCAAGACACTCACAAGTGTTCGCAACCTCTAGAATGCTGTTTTTGCTGTTTTGAAGCCGTTTTTCGACCGTTAACCACCTGGATTTGCTCCAACTGATCTGATAATATGGTTAAGTGCTTTCAACTGAAGATAAGAGGGAATCGGTCGTTCTTATCCAAACACAGGGTTGGCCGAGACACTTGTAAGTGTCTCGGCCATGCCAAGACACTCACAAGTGTTCGCAACCTCTAGAATGCTGTTTTTGCTGTTTTGAAGCCGTTTTTCGACCGTTAACCACCTGGATTTGCTCCAACTGATCTGATAATATGGTTAAGTGCTTTCAACTGAAGATAAGAGGGAATCGGTCGTTCTTATCCAAACACAGGGCTCCTGAAGCCTATACATACAGCCCCAGGACCTTTATTTTTTAAGATCTGAAATTCTCAAGCGTTGGCGAAGCCCTGTCGGATTGAGGACTGAAGAGCCACGAATTTCAGAGAGGATGAGGAGACTTCAGCGGATTCTTCGTCACAAGGTTTTAAATATCGGTTATCGGGGAGTTGTCGGACGATCAAAATTCTTATCGGATAGCGGAAATCGGGGATATATCGGCGATAAGTAGTAATTATCGGAATTGTATAATTTAATTATTTATTTCACCACGTCATAAAATTTTATGCCTAACATTAGTCATTTCTATTTTGTTGCAGACTTGAGATCAAACATCAAGATTTCAACGAAGTAAGGAACTGAGGAAGACAACTTAAGATAGCAATTGTAAACTATCTGCATATGCAAGTTGTAAAACTAATCAATATTAGTCGCAGTGAAGAGTGAACAATGATTCGACAAAACTCAAAGATTATTGACTGAGTTATAAACTTATAATTAAATAAACAACACTTGCAGTGAAAAATTAGTTGCAGACTTGCAGTTAAATTAATTGCTCAAGTAAAAACTAATTGCTCAAAATTAATTTCTATAAACTAGTTACAGTTAAAAAATTAGTTGCAGTGCCAGTTATAACAAATTTCTTATACAAGCATCACAAGTTCACAACAAAAAACACCCAATCAACTTAAAAAAGATTAAAAAGAAATGAAGAAGTCTCACAAGTCTCACAACTCACACGTCACAGACTCACAAGTCGAGGCGACGAAAAAAAGATTAAGAAATGAAGAGCCAAAATCCGAGGCGACAAAGGCCAGAAGAGGAAAAAAACGAACTTCGAAGGTGAGGAGATGAATGATACCTGTTCGAGGCGACGTTCGCCGGAGCTTCACGAATCCGAGGCGACGTTCGCTGGAGCTTCAGGAAGTCGAGGCGAGAGCACGAAATCGAAGTCGAGGCGAGAGCACGAAGTCGAAGTCAAGGCGACGAAAAGGCGAGGACGAAGAGGCGAGGACGAAGATTTGCTGGAGAGCTTCGTCGTCGACGACGAGGCGATGAAGAGGCGAGGACGACGAGGCGACGAAGAGCTTTGTCACGACGACGAGGCGATGAAGATTTGCTGGAGAAAAAGGCGACGATGAAGAGGCGACGACGAGCTTTGTCGGGACGAAGAGGCGAAGAGCACAGCCGCCAGAGATTAGGGCTTGAAGGTCTGGAATCGGGTTTGAGACTTCGAGCTTTCGTTTTATTGTGAAAACGGGTCGGGTGGGTTTAATATCTCAGCAACCTAATTCACTCACAAACCCGATAAACCCGACAAAAAAATGGAAGTTATCGGGCGCTATTAGCGGTTATCAGCGATAAATCGCCGATAATTGGTCAAAAACGCTAACCGATTACAATTTCCTGTTATCCTAGCGGCAACCTGAAAATTCCGATAAATCGCCGATAAATCGTCGATATTTAAAACACTGTTCGTCATAAAGAAGAGGAGTTCGTCAGATCTGCAGCCCAGTTCGTCACTTAAGATTACCCCGTTACGGTGATCTTAAGAAGAGCAATTATCTCGCTGTTGCCGAGATAAGTGTTTCGGTTTCTTGATTCCTTCGCGAATCGACGAAGCTTCGGATCTGATCTGATCGTTTGGTGGTCCACGGATATCAACGTCCCCGTCACAGGCCAAGATCCCACGCAAACAAAAGATCGATAAACGATCTCTGCGTTGTTTGACGAGAGTTGTATTTTTCTTATTTTCATTGTGCAAGAAAGTCTTATAAAAAGACCAATTTTACTTTGAATCTGTAATCGATAAACGTGTAATAGATTCAGCAATGAAGATATCAACTTTCACCCTAAACACCTATGAAATATGAAATTATTTCTAATATAGTATCATACCTTCTTATAATCCTAGCAAATTACCAACAAGTTTTATATGATGCGTCGAAAGAGTTTCTAAGGCTATGGTTGCCCAAAGGTGCAACAGTGTATAAGTTGGTAGTTTTAGGAGGAGTTGACTAGTACCAGCAGGCACATGGACTCACTTTAGACCTCATTTGGTAAAGGGTTAAGGATGAGTGATAAAAGAGAAGGATTAACATAATTAACTTATTTGATAATCCGAAAGACTAAATTATTAACTCATTATATAAGTTTTATTTTAGCCCTTGTGATCATTTTTAGTGTTTGGGAATAACAATGATTTTGACTATTTTCTTTATAATTAGAAGTGTTAACTCTTAATCCTTCTAAATAGGAGTATCAGTAAACCCCTTATTTTGAGGGGTTAACTCATTTTAATCCCTCTAGAGGGATTAGTTTAACTATTCTATATTTTTATGTTTGGTAAATAATGGAGGGTTAACTCACTTTAACCCTTGTATAGATTTTTTGTGTTTGGTGGGTTAAGAAAGAGTTAAATCTTCTTAACCTCTCACTTAACCCTTTGTCAAACGGTACCTTAGGGTCTATCTTAACCATTGTCAAGATATAGTATGATTAACATCCTTCGCTTCCACAAAAGTCAGGGATTTTTGGATAAAAACTTCCAAAAGGATTACAAAAGTTCACCTGACTTCCATGTAATCATTACTCCCTAAGTCCTGGATTTTTTGTGTTTAGCAAGAGTTGGCTGAACTTAGCCCTTAAATCCAACCTAACCTTATAGCTACAAATGGCCTAAAGGTAAAACTTCTTAGAGGTTTTCCGCCAAATGCATATAGTATCATACTCACATTTTAAAAGTCTTACACACTTACACTAGTCTGCCTTGTTGTATTACATGGCATTTCTTACGTGCCTCTGAAGTTTGCTAGAAGATTTTTCCTTCATATTTGCATAAAGTTCTTACGACATCCATAAGTTTCTCAAAAGCTTCGTATAAGCATTAACCTTTTCCTTAATTTTCTACCACAAAACATATCTTTTGTTTCTTTGATAGACAGATCCCCTTCTCTACTCCTTTGGCACCATGAATCCTGTGCTTGTTTCCCATTAGCACATCTTGCATCTGTGCCAAAGGGGAACTTCACAGGTTTCTCCTATAGTAGTAAAGAGTGTCCAAGAGTCGAGATGATCCAACTGTTGCAATGGATTGAATTCAGAAACTACATAATTGCAGTGTACCATTTAGTGGCAACCAAAAGATCTGTGATCTGACATAATATGACATAATAAGATCACAATACAGACATGTAACAGAGGGCGTAGTTGACACGCAGCTACTAGGACATAATTTCTTGATAAACATGCTCAAGTTTCACGGAAGGTTAAATCATACTCTCAGGGACACTCTAGCTACAAGGATCCTACTTAATATAAATTGGTAACAAAGCTTAATTTTATGATTGTATATGGTCCACTAATAAGGGGCGTTTTTGGTATTCCTGTAGTTAAACCTCTCTAGTTTACCAATGAAATAGTGGAACTATATTTTCTCTCATTTTGCATGTATGACTCCACTTTTTCCTAAGTTATTTTGTTTTAAAATCTGTGACATCTATTAGCATCAAAGTCTCAGCTAGTTTCATCCATGTAAATAATTTAAACTCAAAGAGATACAGATCAAATAAATATATAATAATGATGTACCTAAATGGACCTAAATGGAAGCTGTAATAATTAATAAAAAAGATGACACACCACAGATCATTAAAAAGTATTACGGATGAAAAGATTTATAAAATAAACAAAAAAATTTATATCTCCACAAGACTATGCAGAGCAAAGGAATATTGGCTTGAACGTATTCATTTCTTAGTATACTCGTTATGATGTTATATTTTGGACAGATTTTTTGGTAGATCAATCAATTTCTAGTTTACTCTCAACCAGGTTTTCTTTCACCAAGCCATTTCTCATGACCCTCCCCAGAGCCCACAATGGTGGGAGCCTCATGCATTGGGCTACCTAAACCATTTCTCATGAAATTTTTAGTACTACTCTTTGTACTTACCCGTCGATGATGCTATGCCTGAAAAGCTTCCACAGGCCAAGCTAACCAAGACTGCGGAATCTGAAGGCCTGTATTCATAGTTTTAAATTGCTGAGTACTTATACGGCTGTGCATATTCGTTCCAAGTTAGTCTAAGCAAACTTGACATTAATTACCTTTTTACGTGCCAATATGACCTAAGAGTTTCATAAACAGAAAAACTGATCGCTATGCTAGGTCCAACACCCTGCACTTTACATTTGATCAATGATGATGCCAACAAATTCACAGCCTGAGCAATATTGAATAGAAAACTTTTACCAACAATGTAGCTCCAAGTCCTTTATATAATCCTCTGATGCCTTCATCTTTGCAAATGGAACATAGTGCATGAGAAATTCCTTGGTAATATACATAATTTGTCTGCAAAGACTCAGGTCACACTATGTAAGATATCATAACTTTGACAAACAGCTGAATGGCAATGGCAAAATGTTAGAATATAGATATTTTGCAATATTCACTTGGCATAAATACAAGGGCTTATTCATAGAAACCACCTTTAAAATAGTGAGATTATACAAATACCACCTTCAAAGTTCAATTAGTACAGAAACAACTTTTAAAGAGGGTTCAGTTTGCAATCAACCACCTTGACCTATTTTCTAATGAAATTTCGATTGAAATGCCTAAGATACCCTTAAAAATACAGATGTCAGGCAACTAGGTTTGGTTAGGAAGGCATGTCACGTGCCTGGCAAGTAGGGGTATATATAGTCCAGATACGGCTCGAATATGATACTTACCATATTTGTATGTGTGGTAACCGCTTACCGATCACGGATATGGACATGCCTCGATAAGGAGAATTCATAACCATATCCGCTATCGGAAATCGATATGTATATGCATGCGGATATATAAGCGGATACCAAACAGGTATGAGAAAACTAGATAATAGTGAAAAAAATATAGGTCATATGCTACAAGAGAGTTCATTAATATGTTCGTTACTACAATTAAAAAGCTATGATTAGATATCTTGATCATCAAACTTAACCTCAAATCCATCAATCTAAGGATTAAAATATTGCAACAGTATGACCAATAAATATTCGATTTTTGGATACGGATCTAGATATTTCACTAAATAACCATATATGTAACTATACCCTCTCTATTATAGATTTTAGTAACCATATTTGTAGCCTAACGGATAGGGATACGGAGATACGGATACGGATATTTTCGTGCACCCTCCTAGCACGTGTGTTTTTAAGGGTAATTTGGTAATTTCGTTGAAATTTCCTTAATTAATTGCAACCCAAACCCCCTTTAAAGGTGGTTTCTATATTAATTGAAGTTTGAATGTGGTTTTCATATAATAACCCTATTTTAAAGGTTATTTATGTGGGAAAAAAGCCAAAAAACAATGAGCAAGCTATGATGAGAACATTTAAATACAAAGTATTCCAAAGTTGACAACAAATCATTTGCATTCCAAAAGCATTACAATGAGAACATAGAGTGACTTTACGAGAACATAGAAGCAAAAAATCCAAATATCTATATCAAAAATCCAAATATCTATATCTATGCATTTCTGTTTTTATAATGATTTGACATGGATATATCATGAATGGAATCTATATATACCAAATTTCAACATTATAATATATCTCAACAACAAAAAGTACTCTTACTATATATAAAATCATATGAACGCATGTCATAATATGTTAACTTACGATGCATTTCATGCATTAAAACTAAAAAGTAGAAAATAAGTAATGACCTAATGATGAATCTTCTCAAGAGATCTAGTCAGAGAAAACTAGATTACCCATCTCTTCATAGATTCCAACAGGACCAAACCAAAATGAACTCATTAAAAAATGAAGGTGACCACCCAAACTTGTTATCTCTATTAATTCCCCAAATAACAAGGACTCAACTCAGGTGAGTGAAAAATGTAACTAATTTTCAGCTATGCATAAACATGAAGAAATAAACATGAACAAGGACAATGCAAATTCCAAAAAATACACAAGGCATGTGTGTTCCATACGTATGATCGAGACATGTTAAACGAAACACTGTTTCATGATAAAAGTGTTTATGCTACAAATACTCAGTTTATTAAAATAATAGGACATCAATATGAAGAAACGTGTCTTCAATAATTTCAAGCAGCATCAATATGACGGTAATCATGCATGCTACTTGCCCAGATATCTCCAAGTAGTTATACCCCAAAAAGTAGTTTGATCCAAAATATACTACTCAAGCATCAAGCAGTAGAATTGCCAACAATCACAGTGGAGGAGACTGAACTGCACCACTAAATTAGTCAGCTAAAGAGGCAAAGGTTCAAAAGTACATTGGTAAGGAAGTGAATCTCCTAAGTCGGTGGGACTAGTATTCTTCATGAAGATCAATCAAATATCAAGAATTAGGCCCTTGGATGTGAATCAACTATATAACAGTTAGGCTCTTTTATGTGGACGATGTGTTATGGCTGAAGGGCTCTAGAATGTGATCTTTGGCCATCTTACTGCAACACCATAAAACTGATTGAACTACTGATAAACATAATAAAAATTGACTAAGACATTAGTCGTGCCAATAACCTTCAGGGGAATTCATATAAACCATGACCATGTCCAATATACACCAGTTTGCGAGGAAAACAAAAGTCTGCAAAACAAATAAGAACTCCAGCCTAAAAGCAACTATTGTTCACTTACTCTGTTTTTTAAAACAAAAAATTATGTGATACATTTTCTTTTTCTCAAAAAAAAAATTATGATACATGGTTCAAGGAATAAACACACATGCTAATGAATACATGATCAATGCACACAAAAACTACACAAGAAATTTTTTGAAGTACAGATAATGAATGATAGAACTCCAAATAGATGGTGAGTAATATGGAGCTCCAAACGTATTAAGCTCTTAACGTATTACAAGAAACAAGAATGAAATAGAATGCAGTAATACTACAAAACTCATATAAGGTTGTTCATTGTTGGCCAAAAAGGTCACACAGTAGAAAAACATATAAGGGAGAGGCATGTGAATTACCTGAGCTGCAAGACGTGTCCTCACAAGATCTAGTGGGTATGTCATAGAGGCAGCGGTTATTCCCGACAAACCACCACCTAACAAGCGCACACAAACATCGGCACTCACATAATCTCCAGGTTTGTCTAGCCCAGGAACAAGTTGCAGAATCTACATGAAAATATAGCTATAACACTTAATATAGAGAAGCTTTAAATACATTTACCTGGAAAATGGCTCATTGAATGTAATAGACCTTCAGATTTTTTTTACTTACGGTTTTATAGCGTTCATAAGCATAGAAACTGATAGAGGAGTAAGGTAATCGATGCACAATAGTAACCAGGTTTCCTTTCCAGAATGCTCTATAACCTTCTTCATAAACAATACGAGAAGCCTCACGCCATATGCTAGGCTTGCCTAGAGTTCTAGCATCAGAGTGCATGCCTTGAACCTGAAGATAAAAAGATCAATGAGACTTGTTATTAGCAAATAGATAATTTTAAATGGCAAGAAAAACTGAGATACAATATGTAATAAAATGCATTTTTATTTTTTATTTTTAGTTGGCATCAACAGTAACCTCAGTGAAAAACAAGCTGCATAATACAGAAATCAAGAATGTTCCTCCTTTCTTTCTTTCTTTTTTTTTCTCTCTTTTTTTTCCCAGGTAATAAGTGAAAAAGCTGATGGGCATAAATATTTAAGCTAATGAAACCCTTGAAAAAGAATACAACAATTCTCAGACTCTCACTACAAGGAACTCTAATCACAGAGTACGAATGAAAGTAGATTGAAATGGAAGAGTTATGACACATGATTCGATAATCCTTTTTTTTTCTTTTTAAAAGCTGAAGGCAAGGGTTATATGATTTAAGATATGGGTCTAATACTGTCATTAATCTCAAGGCTATCAATAACTTGTATCACAGCATAACATAACATCAAATGTGTTGGAAAGGAGAAAATTTAAATGAATCTGCAAATAATCAGTGTGGTCTGAGACTTCCTCGTATAAGACTTCCACAGCCCATTGTCCTATACAGATGGAGAAAATAGCTGTTGAGAACTGAAAATTAATCATTATACAGAAATTCCCAATCTCCAAACGCAAAGAGATGCCATTTTCAATATTTAGAGACTGAAATTTTGGAAAAAAGGCCTACTAACTAATAATGTAAAAGAGAGATGTAGATAAAGATTTTAAGCAGAAAACATTCTATAGTGGCACCAATAATAAGCTCAAAAGTCAACAGCTGGTTGAAATTATCAATGCATTGCCATTAGTTACGAAAGAAAATTGCTTTTGTTTACCAAACCTAGCCACATCACGAAAGCTGGCAACGCCAATCTCTTTCCAAAATCAATTTTCAACTAGTATTTCGGATTAGTGTGAACTTAATCGTGCTCGAAACTTCGCAAACGAGCGTCAGTAACAAAAGTTGCACCAATCAATTGGAATCCTTTAAATTCTCCGCTGTATTCTTCAATTTAGGTTAAAGATCACTCATTTCTCGACCCAAATCAATGAAAGGACTGACCTGAAAGAGAATCGTGAGGCGAGCAAGCGGAGCGGTGCAAGTTTTACTGAAAGCGCCGGCGATTCCTCCGGCCAAGAGATGAGACGCCGTCCCCAGCTGCTGTTGCTGCTGCTGATTCCGCTGGTGGTCGTGGGCGGAGCACCGACGGGCTCCTCCGTCGACGGCGAGTCCGCCACCGGCGCCTCTGGCCTCCGTCTGCATCTCTCCTTCTAATAGAAATATCGCCTAAGCCCTAGCTAACATAAAAAGTCTCTCTTTACTTTTTCCCTTTCGTTATTTCCCTTCTCTGGGGCTTTTTATCGATTCTTTGAACCTATCGTCGGGATTTTTGAAGCGAGAATTGGGAGCGGGGGCGATTTCTTTCTTCAATTTCTCTCATTTTCCGACCTCTTATAAGGTAGTTCTGATGTTCCTCAGGATCAAATTAGTTGGGACGAAGGAAGGTCGACCTGAGAAGACTTGTGGAGAAAGGAAAAAGAGACGGTGTGGACGCTAGTCGCACAGCGGAGCACCAAACCGACATTGAGTAGAGCAAAACTGAAAAAGATAAACAACAGAAATTAGAATTCCCTTTTTTTTTTTTAAACACAAATTAGAAGACTACTTATTGAGCTAGCTCAAGTATTTTCTTCTACGTAAATCAGATCGAACAGATAAATCATACAAAGTTCCACAAGTTGTTGACGACATTATAAATACAGCAAAGGCTCTAAAAAATTAACTAAATGATGATGTAATCTTAATAAGGTGCTATCGGTAACAGAACTTCTACGTCCTCGTTGTACAACTTTGGTTACTTTTCCACTAATTCTCCCCCCTCTCTGAAGAAACGTTGTTTAGCTATTGAGTTTTGCTTTTGTTGAGGTGGGGAAATTAGTGCGTGGGTTAGGTGAGGTAAGGAAAATATTGGGGTCTCTTATTAACCTCATTTGATGGCTGATCGTTTCTGTTAGAAGCCCCAGGGGTTGTTATTTCATCCGGCGTGTCCTACGACGCTCAAATCGACAACTGATCCGATTAATCTGAAGAGAAAAACATAGAATAGTGTCGTTGACTTTTTTGCGTGCAAAATTGCGTACCTTAGTGTGGTGGAAGTAACAGGGGCACGTTGGTAATACGGCCGGGTTTATGCGTTGATCTGACAACTAGTTGGACGAGTCACCTTTCCAACATTGACAAGGCTGCTAAAGTAATGGAGCAACCCGAGCAGCTTTGAAGGCTCTGACCGGAGAGGTCATAATGAGTGAGTACATTGATGTTGATGCGGGCTGGGTGGCGAAATGTGGGCACTGTCGCGCGCCTTTGCGGAAGCCTTGCACGAACTCACAACGAACCTGTGATCACGAGTAGAAGAAAGCCAAACACTTGCACAAACCAAGCCAATTACGACAAATCAAACCAAACACAAGGATATACGTGGTTCGGCAATTGCCTACGTCCACGGGGAGAGGATGGGGAGATTTCACTATATGGAGGAGAAATACAACGGGTTACAACTCACAAAATCACTCAAATATAACCCTAACCAAAGCTCTCAACTCCCTCACAATATCTCCCTCTCAAAGTGCTCAAAACAATGCTAAATCTCTTCTTTTCTCTCCTTAAGAAACCCTAAAAAACGTGGTCCTATTTATAATAAAACACAATCCCAAACAAAGGAGGATTCCTCAACAAATAAGGATTCTAAAAACGAGTCTGCCACACCCTGCACCATGGGTGTGGCAGAGGGTGTGGTGCAGGAGTGGTGCAGGACAGATTCTGCCACACCCTGCACCGTGGGTGTGGCAGAGGGTGTGGTGCAGGACAGACTCTACCACACCCATGGCAGACACCACACCAGGGTGTGGTGGAGCCTGTTTTGAGTTATTCTTCACGTTTTTCACAATTCCTTCGCCGTTTTCACAATTCTCCACCTCGGCAAAGTGTTCCCAACAATGAGCCGACACAAACATGAGCACCAATGTGTCGTCTCTCCAAACTCGGCTACACCAATGTGGTTGCCTACGTACCCCCTCTCCCAAGGGATCAAGCCGCCCGTAGTTCATCCAAATGGCCGCCAACGGCCTCAACAATTACGAATGTGCAACAAGTTTCGACAATGATCAAACTTGTTGCTCGGAACCACCTTAGTGAGCATATCTGCCGGATTATCCTTCGTGTGGACTTTCACAATTTCCACATCGCCATCTTCAAGAACATCCCGAACGAAGTGATAACGAACGTCAATGTGCTTCGTCCTCGCATGAAAAACCTGATTCTTCGCCAAATATATAGCACTCATGCTATCGCAATGAATAGTGACGGATCGCTGCGATATACCAAGTTCTTCCAAAAGTCCTCGAAGCCAAATAGCCTCCTTCACAGCCTCCGTAACTGCCATATACTCTGCCTCCGTCGTAGACAAAGCCACCGTCGACTGTAAGGTGCATCTCCAACACACCGGCGCACGGGTCAAAGTGAACACATACCCCGTAGTAGACCGGCGCTTATCCAAATCCCCGGCATAATCCGAATCAACATAGCCAATGCATAGCTGCCCACCTGTAGTGTCCCGCTCATAAACCAAACCAACATTGAGCGTACCTCTAATGTACCTCAAAATCCATCTCACGGCGTCCCAATGACCCACTCCTGGATCGTGCATGTATCTCGACACCATGCTCACCGCCTGTGACAAATCCGGCCTCGTACATACCATCGCGTACATCAAGCTCCCAACTGCGCTCGCATATGGAGTCTTCGTCATCAACTCACGGTCTTCAACTGACTTCGGTGAAAGGCCAGCTGAAAGCTTCAAATGGGCTCCCAACGGTACACAAACTGGCTTCGTATCCATGCTAACATGGAATCGCTGTAGAACCTTCTTCAAATAAGCCACCTGTGTCAAACAAATCCTGCCCTTCTTCTTATCTCTGCCGATCTCCATCCCTAAAATGCGCTTCGCCTCGCCCAAGTCCTTCATCTCAAACTCATTCGAAAGCTGAACTTTCAACTCATCTATAGCTGACCTGGAACTAGAAGCAACCAACATGTCATCGACATAAAGCAACAAATAAATGTACGCACCTCCTCTCAACTTGCGAAAATACACGCAAGGATCAAACTGGCTCCGAGTGTACGAATGACCAAGCATAAAACCATCAAATCGCCTATACCACTGTCGAGGAGACTGCTTCAAACCGTATAGCGATTTCTTTAGCCTGCAAACCAACTTATCTTTCCCTGCAGCTCGGAATCCCAATGGCTGAGTCATATATATTTCTTCATCAAGATCACCATGAAGAAATGCTGTCTTCACATCCAACTGATCTAACTCCAATCCATACTGTGCCACCAAAGCTAGCAAAATCCGAATCGACGAATGCTTCACCACCGGAGAGAAAACCTCATTGTAATCAATACCTTCCTCCTGTGCATAGCCCTTCGCAACCAACCTAGCCTTGAACCTCACTGGAGTGCCCTCAATGCCCTCCTTCTTCGTGTACACCCACTTGCACCCAATCGCCTTCCGCCCCTTTGGAAGCTCTACAAGCTCCCATGTATCGTTCTTGTGAAGAGACTCCATCTCCTCCTGCATAGCCACCTGCCACGAATCAGCCTCCGAACTCTGCTCGGCCTCTCTGAATGTAGTAGGCACCATCTCATCGATACTCTCCACCGGAAGTGCATATGCAACTGTGTCGGCATACCGTGCTGGCACCCGTATGTCTCTCCTCTGTCTCCGTGCCGCAATAGAATCCTGAACCTGAGCCGTCGGTCCCTGATCCTGCTCATGAGTACCCGTATCCTCCGCATCACCGTCGTGCTCGCCTGGCGTCACCTCAGTCGGCACTCTCATGGATACTGCACTATCTGGACTCTGTGGAGCTGCATCAATCTCCACCACCTGCGAAATCTCCTCTGTCGGGTTGCTCTCCACCTGATGAGAGCTGGGAAGCTTCAAGATAGAAGCCTCATCGAATGTGACGTCCCTACTCAGCACAATCTTCTTATCAACTGGATCCCAAAGCTTGTATCCCTTGACACCACGCTTGAATCCTACAAATATGGCCTTCCTAGCTCGAGGTTCCAACTTATCAGTTCTAACATGATAATATGCAGGGCAACCAAATACCTTAAGCTGGTCATAGTCATGTGCTGTCTCTCCCGACCACATCTCCATAGGGGTCTTCCCCTCAATCGCAGATGAAGGCAGCCTGTTAATGAGGTGGCTCGCATAAGAAAGTGCCTCAGCCCAAAAGATCTTCTCCAAACCACTATGCGCCAATAAACATCGAATCTTCTCCAGCAAAGACCGATTCAATCTCTCCGCCACCCCATTCTGCTGCGGTGTATGACTAACTGTGAAGTGCCTCTCTATGCCCTCGTCTCGACATAGCTGCAGAAAGGGGTCTGAGGTATACTCGCCGCCGTTGTCGGATCGCAACGTCTTGATCTTTCTCCCAGTCTGCAGTTCCAATCTCTTCTTCCACTCCACAAACAAATCTAGGACTTCACTCTTATGCTTCATGGTGTACACCCAACATCGCCTAGAATAGTCATCAACGAACGTGACGAACCAATGTCGACCACCAAGTGATGCCGTCTTAGTGGGACCCCAAACATCTGTGTGCACGTAGTCCAAGATGCCCCTCGTCCTATGAATGGCCGTCCCGAACTTCACCTTCGTCTTCTTGCCAAGTACACAGTGCTCACAGAATTCTACTTTACCACTCTTGGCTCCCTTCAAAAGCCCCTGCTTGCACAATGCCTGCAGTGACTTTTCACCTGTATGCCCTAGCCTGTAGTGCCAAAGTCTGCTCATGTCCGCCTCTGAAATCGCCGAAGCAACCTGGCCAATCTCGGTGCTCCCCTTCAGATAATATAAATTATGATTTCGGACTCCCTTCATCACCACCAAAGATCCCTTAGTAACCTTTGCTACAGCATCCTCAAAGGTCACCCTGAATCCCTTCGCCTCCAAAGCCCCCACTGAGATAAGATTCTTCTTAAGTTGAGGAACGAATCTCACCTCCTTCAGCTCACGGACTACTCCATCGTGCATCCGAATCCTCACAGTACCTATCCCACGAACGCCACAGGATTGATCATTTCCCATGACCACAACACCCCCATCGAGTCTCTCAAATGATGAGAACCAATCTCGCCTAGGAGTCACATGATAAGTAGCGCCAGAATCAAGCATCCACTCCGATGCATCCAAATGGTTCACCTCCGGAGTAATCAAAAGAGAAAAGCTCGAATCATCGGAATCATCGCCTTTCGCAACATTCACCTCATTGGCCTTCGGGCCCTTATTCTTGCTATTCTCCTTTTCTTTGACTTTCGGGCAATCTCTTTTCCAATGTCCCTGCTCCTTGCAGAATGCACATTGATTCTTTCCAAGCTGGTGACGACCTCTTGACTTTGACCTCCCTCTGTTTCCACCTTTCTGATATGAGCTTCTACCTCTCGCCGACAAGGCCTCTCCTGAAGTACTAGCGCGGGAAGTCTCCTTATCCTTCCTCCTCAAATCATAGTTCGTCAATGCGTTAGTCACTTCACTATAAGTGATAGAAGATCTCCCGTTCAGCAACGTAAGCACGAAGGTATCATACTCCTCATCCGGTAAGGAGCCCAAAAGAATAATAGCCTTGTACTCATCTGTGATCTTCTCATCCACGTTCGCCAAGTCCGACAACAACTTAGTGTAGTTGTTCACATGAGCCGCAAGCGAGGTACCTCTGGACATCTGGAATCTGAATAACCTTCGCAGCAAGTGCAACCGGTTCTCAACACTCTTCGTAAGGTACTTATTGTTGAGAATTTCCCACATCTTCATCGCAGACGTCACCCCAATCACATCGTATTTCAGCTCCTGTTCCAAACAGGACCTGATCACCCCGCAAGCATTTCGATTCATCTTTTCCCATATCGCCTCTTCATATTTAGGTGGCCTCACATCGACCATGATGGTCTCCTCCAGATTTTGAGCATTGAGCGCATCCTGTACGTCGCTCATCCACAAACCAAAATTGATCTTGCCGTCATATTTCACAACACTAATCTTAGTGTTCTGAAAACCCACTTGAACTGTGCCTGTCATCTTGCTGCTTTCACCAATTACTTCACCCATAATCACCACCGTGGGTGTGGCAGAGGGTGTGGTGCAGGACAGACTCTACCACACCCATGACAGACACCACACCAGGGTGTGGTGGAGCCTGTTTTGAGTTATTCTTCACGTTTTTCACAATTCCTTCGCCGTTTTCACAGGCACTGGCTGGTCGTGCATTAAACGCGATATCACTTTTGACAAATTTGACAGGTCGTTCCGCTGTTCAAGACGTTCACTGTTGGGTCCGAGTGGGGAACATATTTCGCCTCAGATGCATGTGCTTCTTAAGGTTTCCATTAGGCTTGACGATTTCCAAGGTACAACAACTACTCAACAGAATCGACCACACCCAAGCAGTTAGTTCTAGCCTTTCGGATAGATACAGGAAATTTTTAGCTCATCGGGTGGCTGATCCCGAGCGCATGCGGTCAGTTCTCATAAGATTCAGAATCTTTCTTTTTGTGGGCCTTTGTGCTGAAAAATTGAACGAGCGCGTGAAAATCGTTTACCTCGCTGTTAGGAGGTTATGTCCTTTTCTAAAGTGGGCATCGGCGTCACAATCATGCGCCCGAAGCGTTTTACATTGTGGTCCCAGCTCGGCAGGTGAGAGAACGAGGGAAAAAGGAGGCCGAGCACGAACGAAAAAGGCCTGAAGTTTAACAAACTATTTCTGTTCGTAGGGATTTAAGCCCACTCCACAACTTCTTTTTCGTTTAATTTAACAAAGCCTAGCCCAGTCCCACTTACTGGACCACAATGGATCTTTTGGCATATACAATTTGTGAGAAAAAAAATTTACTGGTGGTTTGTTTAGCCACTGAATATTCTGAAATGCTGAATTTGGTATTCATTCAGTTTATTTATCCGAGGAAAGTGACATTAGAATTTGGCTTCGAGGAGTGTTTTCGGTTAAATCCTACTATGATCTCCTCATTGACGGGGGCTTGAGATTTGGTTGTGCTAATATTTGGAAAACCCCTATTTCCTATGAAAGTTAGAAAGTTTTTTTTTTTTTTTTTTTTTGTAGCCATTAAAAACAGGTTGAATACAAAAGATTCTTTGGTGAAAAAAAAATGGGTATGCAAATAGATACGTTCAACACGTTGCTTGTGTACTCTGGTAGAAGAATCACATGCCCATATTTTCCTACATAGTAGATTTCTTCTTTCTTTATGGAGATCAATCCAAAATAAACTTGACATTAGTGATGTTGCTAAAGCTTTTTTTTTTTTTTAAATAGACGTTTATGTTACTTGCCTGATACTTTAGTGATGTTGCTAAAGCGTTGATCTGATGATGCTTGAACAGTAAAAATGGTGTAGTTTTTAATGTGACAACCATCTTTTTATCTAGCTGGCTGGAGTATTTTTTTTATTAAACTCCAACCTTTTTCTCAAGCAAAGGAAAAGGAAAAAAAAAAGAATTTCCTTCTCGTCCCTTTATTATATACTTTTCGAAAAAGGACCAGGGCCTACCCTGCCCTTTTTTCTACCTCATACGGACGGCGACTTGCAATCTTTCAATTCAAAGAATACAGAAGCATCACTTTCAGCTCTCGGATTATATTCCCATTTTTGGTTAAACAACTATTTTCAAACTGGGCAGGTAGATTTAAATTGCTTTCTCTGCGTTAAAATTTTAAAGTTGAGGTGAAAAAAATGAGGACAATAATTTTATACTTTTAAATATCTTCATAGGCTAAACACCCTTCTTCTTCTTCGAAACCTAACCATTTACAAAGTGTCATACGAACTTAGTTGTTCTGATATCATCAAACAACTTTACCATAATTTTTGAGCTGTGATCGATGAGCATACACAAAGTGCCATACGAACTAATATCTAGAAAATTTAACAAACATCAAAAGTATTACAATCTGATCAAACTATTTAAGCCGCCTCTCTTCTTATCCACTGAGCTATTTTTCCATCCATGCTAACCTTTCTAAACTATTAATTCCGTCTCTGCTCGCTGACTAAACTATTTTCAGTCCCACTTTAACCTCTAAGTTGGTACTTTCCTCTCATAAATCCATTTAAAAACATTTTAAAAAATAAATGAAAAGTAATAGTTAGATACTTGAAGAGATTCGAAGAGTAAACAAATGGCAAATTTAACAATATTAATTAACTTGCTGTTGTAGGTTAGAGAGAAGTGAAATGTCAACTAAAAAGGGGGTGACAATAAAAAACCACTGTTCGGTTTTAATTAGGGCAAAGGTGAGAAAAGCGAAGCTGATATCCCAGTAACTTGCTGTCCATGTCATTTCCAAGAAAAACAATTATTCTACTCCACAGTACCCTCCTCAGTGTTCTTTCCTAGGTCACCAAAAATAAAATAAAAGTAAAATAAAACCTTTGCCCACTGCTTCACTTCAGTGCCCTCATTATATTGTACTATAATCTTAGCAACTTTTAATTTACCCACATAAGTATTACTTTATCTGGCTAAACTTTCTCCAACCCAATCCAAGACCTATGCTACTAATAGTAACCAAGCCACAACTCCTGAACACATTAATTTAATCCTACCCTTTTGACTAAGCTCTCAACTAATCTATCTATATTATAATCTGTATAGGCCTATATAAAAAGACACGAGTAATCAACAACTAATACAAGTAGCTAATGACATTAATATTGCATGGAGCCCCATACATACAATAATGCCTATGTCCAAATGAATGGGATATAATTCCAGCCAAACGGCAGGAGACGAGGAGTTGGGTTATTATGGAGCATAGGTTTTATAGCCCATAAATCTTAGGAGAAGATTTCAATAAGCACAATATTTCATGGCAACATCTCATCGTCTCGAGTTGAGGATATTTAATTAAGTACCCCCACCCCCACCAATGAAATATATATAAAATAAAATGCCACCTTGAAAGCAACCATCAAAAGGAATCAGGTGGTGTCTCAAAATCTCAAACCTGCTCACCTAAAATCAACAACTCATCACTAATGATTATTTAAGCGGATCAAAACCTTTCAATTGCTGATACCAAGCAGCATAGGCCGGGTACGTACAATGTATACGTACCCTGCTAAAAGAAACACAACACTTTTCCGTTGCTCTTTGTTTTTGTTTTTTTTTTCCTTCTTGTTGGCAGATGCTTAAATTAGTTTTAACTAATCATAATTAATATACTAAGGAGATAGTTAGTTAACAGTAAACAACAACAGCGTTATCTAAAGTTTTGTAGACAGCTTATGTGAATATATACCAGTTTCGAAGAATGCAAAAGAAAATGATTAATAATAGCAACCGACTTCGCTAGCTTTTTTCTTGTTGAAGTAGAGATTTTTCTCCAACTCAAGAGGCTTATCAATCAAAACACAACATACGCACTCTTGACTTGTTACGGTAAGAGCATCTCCAACAGCTTCCCCATTTTTTATTTTTTGAGAATTTAGTTAGGTTTTTGGCCCAACAGATTCCCCATCTCATTCCCCAAAATAGGAATGGAGGAGAAAAAATTGGGAAAGTTTCCCCAAATCTGCAGCATTCTCCAAATTTTTGGAGGAAAAAATGGATTCTTCAAAATGGGGAAGCTGTTGGAGTTGGTGTAAAAATTAGTTGGAGAATATGACTTTTGCTTCCCCATTTTGTAGAAAATTTTGGAGAAACTGTTGGAGATGCTCTAACATCTTTATTATTGAAGCACAGGAAGCATTATTAATAATTAACTAAAACAATTTAAAAAAAACTTGTCCCAATCTATAGCATAGTACCTATAAGTTGAACAAAGTAAAACACAAAAACTACCAATAGCGAATCTTGTGCTTGATGTGATGTACACAGTATAGATCCAGTAAAAAGCACCTGAAACAAAACTTTGGATAAAGTGGATTTTGGATATGCTGACATCAGACGTAAACACTAAATATTTTGTTGCTTGACGTGATGCGCATTATTGATTCAAAATAAACAAAAAATATTAAAACCAAAGCTTCGGATAACAGGGATTTCGGGACATTGCTTATATCAAGCGGTAGCTTTATTTGGTCAGAAAACAAGAAGCACAATCAATCTATTAGTGGCAAAATCACCATGCTCATCATATAAGGGATTTAATTAATTCATCATATAAAAGGATCAACATGTATGCATATATATATATATATATATATATATTGTATCATTCTCAACATCAAAATATACAGAAAATGCAACTGGTGCCATTCATTACAATGAACTAATTCCATATATAGATCTGCTAGCAGCGTGCGTACCTGTGACTCCCAGTTCAAAGGGAGGCAAACGGTGCTCTTATGCCTTCAATAGTGCTATCTCCCGATGATGCACCATCATGATACTGTGAACACATCCACAATTTGCTAAGCTATTGTAATTCTTCATCCAACAAAATCATGAAGCAAACGCCCGCCAATGTCCTTCCCAAATTGACGATCCTGCCCTCCGAAAGAACCAATCACATAAGGGTCATTGCACTCCTCAAGTCCAAGCCCAAAACCATGAACAACGTTCAATGGAATTGGGTCCGCCAAGCAAATGCCGTTATTTTGGTGGAGTCCAAGAGTGAGGGAGACATCACCGTTTTCTTTGACTCCAACACCTCCTCCGACTTCAATATTATGATGGCCATGGAAACCATCAAAAACAAAGTTGTAATTAGGCTCTTGAATGTGGTGAGACACTTGAGAAAGCTCATCGTGAGGTCGTTTAGAGGATTGATTTTGATTGTGAAAGAAGGAAGTATCGTTGGATGAGGTTGCGGTTGAAGATGATGGGAGTTGAGGTTGCTTGTCGGTGTTATGGTTTGCATCGCTAGCTCCAGCTTTATTTTGTTGTCGCATCTCAAGAGAGTGTATTTCTTCAACCATTGGCTTCCAGAGTCGTACTCTGGCATTAATAAACCAATTTGACACCTGCTCACATTGTCAATATTTATTATCTCTGGTTTTGATAGCATTAATTTATCACTAATGATTCAAGTGCATAAGCAAATATTTTAAAAAAAAAACCTTAAAAACATTATTAAAAAAAGGTTTAAAACTCAAATTAAGGAGATTGTGTGTTACCTGGTTTCTTGTTAGGCCAGTTTGTTTAGCCAACATTTGCTTGTCAGTGTCAGTAGGGTATCTGTAAATAAAGTCGAAACAATTTAACTTATTAACGCATGGCAGCCTCAAGGAGATGACAAAAGTACAACAAGATCTCTTTCTTCTTTTTCATTCAGGATACAGACTGATCTTGAATGTGCAAGATTTCACTGCATGCTTAAGGTTTAAATTATAATAAGTACAAATATATGGAAGAGATGTGATGTTCATCATTTTATGAATTGGTAAATCAAGTCAGCAACTAACCCAACCGTGTGTGATTCAGACAGTTGGGTGGTTTCAATATGACTCTCATGGTTTTAGGTTCGATTATGGGCAGGTTATTTTAAAAAAAAGTAATGAACTTTAACTTCAGATGATTACATTGCAGGGGTATTACTAATGCATACATGCAAATATACCCTTTTAACCAAAATCCAACCAATCTTCAACAAGAGACTTCCATTAACCAACCTCTTGATTTATCATTAAACTATAGCATAAATACCATAATTATAACAAGTAAAATTAAAACAAAAAAACTGAATAGTCAAGAACTATATCTAAAGCCTAAAATTTAAGCTCATACCTAACAACATGAATTAATGAATAACATCAAAATATGTAGGAACTTCATTTCTCGAAGCAATGTTCTTTAGCTAGGAAACATTTTTCATAAGGAAAATTTTGTCATTTACAAAGATAAGAGCTTGGGCACTCATAATTATTATCAATATTAACCATAGAAAAGCATGTGGATTCAACAACATGAAAACTAACTTACGGGTGCAAGAAATGCTCAAAGAGCCATGCTCGAAGCACAGCCACTGCCCTTTCAGGAAGTCCCCTCTGAGGCCTCCAAACATGAGGTTGTCTTATAGTACCATAGTTGTTTGTCTGCCTGTTGATAAGTCCAAAGCCAGAATTTTCTTCTTCACTGAAGCCCTCTTTTCCGATAGCCTTGTTTATGTGATGCAGATGGTCAGAAATTGCATTCTTCAGGCATCTGAAATGCTTCGACATGACTTTGAGTGCCATGGAAGCATATGGAGCGGCACTACTAAGGCCCGGTACGGACTCGAAGGATGCGATCACTGCTTGTACCTGCTGGTGGTAAAGTTTGTACCTCCGGTATACCTAAAGTAACACATAGATGAAATTGAATGTAAAAGATATGACTAGTGTGTATTCCCAAATTTCTCTAGAAAGGAAAAATGAATGTGTAACCAAAATATCATAGAATCCAAGATCATTGTAACTTATCTTAGGAAATTAATATAAGCAATGTAGTCAAGCTACATAAACCATGCCATCAAAATCATATACAATGTTTCTGCAACTTAGATACCTTCGAATTCTATGCATCGACAAAATTGCAGGGATGACTAATAGACAGACATTTCATTATAAATTTTTTAAAGGCGATTGTACAATTCCTAGAATAAATTTTACTAGTCATTACTTTATAAAATTAGCGTACAAGAGCAACAAAACCCAAGAAAAGAGAAGTCGGGAGATTATGATAGATAAGTTATCTCCTACAGCATGAAAGTGAAAAAGATGAGTGGGATCCATACCAAGTCCTTCTCACATGTACTGTATAATATGAAAGAAAGAAATTCTATCTTTGTTTAAGGTTTTCAGAGTAGTTGATGTTTTAAAGAGAAATTTTATATCTATCGTACTCAAACATGCAAAGATTTTCTTTTTTCAATGCTTCAATCACTCATACAGAGAAAAGGAAACTCAAGAAATATTACTGTTTGAAAGATATTATGGGCGCACACAAGTTCCCAAATTCACTGTGAAACTCAATAAGTCAAAATACTGATTTCTTAATTGCAAGATTGGTGCTTAATCAAACTGTTGATCATGCAATTATTCCTAGAGTTCCTTGATTGTCACAATTAGAACACCTTTATTCACAAATTATCACGGATACCTAATAATATAGTTTATATGACCAACATGGTTTTAGGGATTCAAGATTTTGCTATATACCTAGATGTAAACAGCTTCAATTGTCTCTCTTTGGATATTAATACAAGTACCATGTGGTTACTATTTAAAGTAACATGACAGTTGTGATCCTACTTTACTATTATGGTAAATTTTATGTAAGACATGAATGTATTTAATAGTATCTATCCATGTAAATGCATAGGTGTGCTCGTGTATGTAGTTATGCAAGGAAGCATGTGCATACTTCAACCTAGAACTATCTCTAATTGCTGATAGTTGAAACCACCAAAAGAAATTGTGCCTGCAGCTTCACTTATCAAATGTTAACTGAAACTGCAATTATTTTCCAATTTGCAAAAAGCACTATATCATTTTCGATCATGTCATGTGATGCATTCGTGCTGTTGCAAATTTATGGAAAGGTTGACAAGACTAAATGGTCGCACTAGTAAAGGGTGACATTTATGCTGCCAATAGAGAACTAATAAGGGATATAATCTTGCATGTTACCCAAAAAAGAACCTATTTAAATAAAAATACATGATAAATGTGTTGCACCTAAGGGTCTGCTTGATTCTTTTATGTAATTCAAGTAAAAGTTAATGCAGCTAGGAAACCCAGTTAGAAAAGTGGACCTGGCAGCTACAGTAATTTTGGTCAGAGACGGCCAAGCGGGATTTTTTATCACCACATCATCACTCTATTTCCACAACCAAACAGCATAAACGCGTGAAAGTTACTATCAGGCTACAGTACTTTCCAGCAAAAACAACCCAACCAATCAGGCCCTTAGTACAGAAAGTACTAATCCTTTATACTATTCTTATTTAATTGGAAAAGGGAATTGTTAGGACGATGGAAGTGTCAATAGATTCACAACACAAGATTAAGTGTCGCCATATGATTACTAGAAAATTCTGTTAAAACATTGTTTAATGATCATTATTAAGAGAACTGAAATATTTCTACAAAATTCACAAAGATTGGAGCAATTCTGTCCTTTTTTCTTTTCTAGCTATGCAAGCATTCCATTTTTTTTTCTTTTTTTTCCCTTCTGAGAACTTCATGACAACAATGAACTATGACATCATATTGCATGATACTTTAATATCACGTACATGAAGAAGATTAAATCTTATAAGATCTTTTATAAAATCATGTATATACTTCAGTAACAGAATGATAGCAATTGATACATAATTGAAGCACAATGATTCATGAATCTATTTAGAAATAATTCAAAGCACAATATTATACATTATAATCACAAGTACAATTGTAACTGTTAAATATTGCATCTGCACTCACAAATGAAAATCTTCAGGCAAGTCCACAATCTTGCGTACTGATACAAAATCAAAACAAAATCAAAAATTTGTTCGAGTACACCTTAATTGATGAACAAATCCTTCAATATCCTCTTTCATAAATGATATATATAATCCCAAAAATTCACTCATTCAGAAAATAATTAGGGTTCTAAGCTGTCAATAACACCAAAAAAACTAAACCCCAAGCTTAGTCATAATTCAAAGTTGTCACAAAAAAAAACTATCCTAATATTAATCCACAAGCGAATCGACACTAAATATAGCTACAACAATACCTAGGACCTAAACCTTAAATTAACTCTCACCTATCAATCAAGAAAAGTACTAATAATCAGCAAACTAATTAATTACATCCTTAAAGATGATTAATGAAGCAAAACAGTAACAAAGATTCCTCCAGAGGTCCATCCAACCTCTTTGACAAGATGGAACACGGCCATTTCCATCACCTCTCCATTCCACAAAAAGCTTTCCTCTTTTAATTAAAAATAAAAATAAAGCTGCTCCCCAAAATTTAAACTAATAAGTCCTCCACGTCTTTTCACCAGAAAAAAAAACAACAAAAGCGATTGTAATTCACCTAATTGATTAATAATTAATGAAACCTCACCTCATCAAGCATAGAGATGAGCTTGGTCTTCTTCCACTGCTGCTGCTCCCCGCCCCCCGGCCCCTGCCCGCCGCCTCAATGCCAGCTGTCATCCCGTCCGCGCGTCCGATCACCGACCGATCGACGACACCACCGACGTTGCAGATTTCCTCGAGAAGCGTCCGGGCGGGTTCTAGAAACCTCGACCGGTTCAAGATCTCGGCGTAGCCCGTGAACGGCCCAAACGGAGTCGGGTTGTTCCCCTCCGTCAGCTGCTGACGCGGCGGAACCGTCGACAGCGACAGCCAGACTGCTGCTGGTTCTGGCTCGAGATCTGGTTGTACACAGAATTTGGCGCGCAGATGCTGTAAGTGCTGTAGCTAGGGTTAGGGTTCTGGGAGGAGGAGGAGGACGAAGGGAAGAAAGGGCTGGGGCTAGGGTTAGGGTCGTCGTGATGGAACCGGAGCTTCTCTCTCCGGCTCTGCTGGGGTACATGATACATATAGTGTTCCTCAGCTCCACCGTACCCATCTCCAGCTGATGATCCCATCTCCCTCTCTCTCTCTTTCTTCTCTATCTTCTTGTTTTCGGTAGGCACAGAGAGAGTAATAAGAGGGGAGATCTCTCAAGCTTCTTCTTTTATTTTTCTTTTTTTTTGTTTTTTTTAATGTTTTTAACTCTTCTGTTTGTTGTTTTCTATGCTAAAAAAGAGAGGGAAAAGGGGGTGAATGAAAATGAAAGCGAAAGGCGAAAGTGAAACTGGGGTCTCAACCGGAGGAACCGG